ATATTTAGAGACAAATATTGCAATGTGTCTTGAGAATATTGAGTTTGTGGGAGACATATGGTCAAAGAACAAAATTGAGTGGGAAATAATTGGTTCTAACTCAATTCATATAGTTATTATTTATATAGAAAATTTGGATCCTCATACAGATATTATTGTTCTTTCTCTCAATTAAAATAAGAAATTAATCCTTGAAGATCAAATTCAACATTCTCAAGAACTAGAGCATCAAGTGTCATAAAGAATTGACTGAAAAGAGAAATTATATTAAGTATGATTGAAAGATTCTATTATAATAGTTGTGACACTTGTTACTTGTTATAATTTTGGAGCTTCATAAGATGGATATCAAGTTAGTATTTTTTTAATGGCGACATTAAGAAATACAATATGATACAACGAGAAATTTTTTTGTATGAATAGATACAAAGTTTATAGTTTCCAAACAGATAAAACTCATTTATGAGTTAATGAAATTGTCTCATTAGTGATACCATAATATTTCATAAGGTAATTGTCTTGATTGATTTTGAGATTTCTATTAATAAAAATTATTGGATTTTACAAGTTCAGTGGAAGTAAGTTTATATTTCTAGTTTAATGCGTCGTTTTAATTTTATTTAGTCAGCAATGCTATATGATTGTTGTGTGAAATCAAGAAATCTATAACAAAAGTTTAGCGATGAAAGATCTTGGGCACATCTCTTTTGTATTAGATATTTAGATACTTAGAGATTATTCTTAAGGTATCATTCGGTTATCACAAAAGATATATATATATATATATATATATATATATATATATATATATATATATATATATATATATATATATATATATATATATAAAGTTAAAAATAAAATTGACATGAAAGACAATAACCTAAGGTATGTCTCAATTATCAATAGAGACTATTAAGTCTCAATCATTGTCCAAAATAAATGAATCTGGAAATTTAGAAAATTAAGTTTTTTTTAATATTTTGGTTGTGGGAATTTTATATATGATTTTATACGTATATGAAAAGACGTACATAAAATTATTAAGTAGATATTTGAACAATTCAAAGTTGAATTGTTGGAAAAAAAGGTCAACCATGAGAATTATTGTATAGAACAAAAGAATTTGTACTCACAAATCGAAAATCTGATAATGAGGAGATCATTAGTATGTTCGACTCTGATATTTTAGATGTCGAATAGATATTCTAATACATAATACTCCCTCCATTCTCTTTTATAAGAAAATTTTAACTTTTTAGATTAATTTAATAATTGATGTATCTAACTTATATATAGTCTAAATACATTATTTATTCAATGAATCTAAAAAGTCAAAATTTTCTTATAAAAGAGAATGGAGGGAGTAAATGACAGTAAGTATTTATGTCATTCAGTTACAATTCAATATAAGACTTTGGAAGATCATTCAAGTTATATTTTGTTGTAAGAAAGTCATATAGTGTTTCAAGAATAGGTTTTAAAACTCCATTGACTTATAAGTTATTATTGTTTAAACTAGAATATATACATATGAAATTTAAACTAAAGACTCTCTAATCAAAGACTTGACATATAAGTTATTTCATATGATTATTGTCACTAAGGATATCTTAGATTAGCGGGATTCACTCTTTCTTTTATGTTTTATAATATTGTTTTGATATCGATAGACTTTATATTAAGATTATTTGTAGAAATAATATTTATAAGCTTATTGTTGTCATAACCATTTATGTATCGTTTGTGCAAATATTAAATTTGCAAACTTTAGTTTGATCTTAAAAAAGACTCCAATTGGACCATTTGGAAATATACATGATTTAGAGATCACATTGCATAAAATTTTCATATCACTCATCCATATCGATCTATGTCATCAAGTACATTTATGTGGTGGTCGTCGGGGATACTATCACGTTATACCTCAGTGACGACAGACGCGGCGGTCTCATAATATATGAGATGAATCAGATTATAAAGTTGAAATCTAAGGATAAATAGAATTCGGATACACGCCTAAAGACTATGATATAATTATTAAGATATATTGCCCAAGTGGGAGATTGTTAAAATATTTTATATTTAAATATTATTTAATTATTATATAAATATTATTTAATTATTACATTCCAATAATTATTATGTGAACAAATATATTTATGAATTATATTAACTATTTATCAAATTAAGAGTCTTAATTGATTAAGTTGTCAAATGAAGTTTAAAAGGCTAAATAGATTTTTATTTAGTAATTAAATAATTAATTGATGGTTATGTACTTAAATATGAACAGATGTCAGGATGACCCATTTCGGAATAATGAAAGCTCTAATTGGTCATCAATATATATATATATATATATATATATATATATATATATATATATATATATATATATATATATATATATATATATATATATATATATATATATATATATATATATATATATATATATATATATATATATATATATATATATATATATATATATATATAGTCACCAATATACCGTACTCAATCAGTTTACTTCTTATCCCCATTTAAAGAGTGTTCAAGGCATTAGAAGTACCGCTTGAGGAATATCCACAAGCCAACAAGTGTCGCTCACTTGTCTACACTTTTGTGTTTCAATATTACAGTAATCATTGCCAAAAAACTTTTATCTTATGAATTTAGATATTCCTAAAATTCCATCTCTCATAACCTAACATGTCGTAGATCATGTAATTATATACATATTCATATTTATTTATTCTATTCGCACAAAAAATATATAATATATAGAACATGTATATGTGATTAATTGTTATTAAATTAATTTCGACAGACTATAATTAAAGTCTTCTAATAGAATAAGGGTCAAAGAACAACAGAGTAGTTAATAGAATGATTCAAGAAAGATTTCAAACACTCAGGTGAGACTGTAAATAGACATTTTCATCGGATAAGTTGTCCTTTAAATATATTAAGCTTGAACATCCAATGTTTCTTCATTGTCATTCCAGAATAAAAATGACAAAAGATATTGGTCATCTTTTAAGAATGCTATAGGAGAAATTGATGGTACATATGTGTTATGTGTAATTAATGGTTATATCAGATTTGGAATGTGTGTTTTACTTTTGTATTATCTGATTGAAAAGACACTACCCATAATGTTGTGTTTTCTACCAACCTCTCATAAATACAAACTTTAATTTTTCACATCCTCCTTCAAATTTATTCTTTTATATTATTAAAAATTAATTGTTATATTAATAATATTTTTCTTCAGATTTAAATAATTACTTTATTATTTAAGTAAGTACATTGGTTCCTACACATGTGAACATTATCACCTTTTTGATTTTTTGATAATTATAATAAAATATTCAATTATTACCACTTAAGTTTAAGTTTAAGGCTCACAATAAAAAAGATAGAATATAAAAGAATAGATTTGTAATTCTATGCCTAAGTTCAAATAATAAACACAAGTTAAAATAGCTGTAGCAATAATGACTGTACACAATTTTATTAGGAGAAATATAAAAATTAATTTTAATTTTATCGTTAACGAAGATGAGAACACAACCATTAATACAGTAGTGCGTAGTTCTAGTGTTTTATTAAAATGTTATGATTTGTGATTAAAAAATCATGTAATCACACGTCCTAAGCAAAAAAGTACTACAGAATTAGATATGTTAATCACATGCAAATCTAAATAGTAGCCATAGCCAAACAATGATCAGTTTGCAAATTTACATTACGCACATGATTAAAACGAACAAAAAGTTATTTACAACATAACCGTAAATGAAAAGTGAAAAAAAGCAAATAAATAACCATTACAAGAGAATAGAAAAAAAAAATCAGTAAGTGGGAACGATGCCGTATCCACCAATAGAATCAACGGCACCGGTACGTTTCGCAAACCGTCCTTTGATCCTTGGCCTAGTTTCTGCATAAGCCTTACGAGAAGCGTAACGAATCGTCTTCTCGAACCTTCGATTCTTCCTCTTCTCCCTATACCTCATTACCTTGGCTTCACGATCCGCCGCCATCGCCTTGCTGTGTCCACTGTTCGAAATTTCCGATACAGCGTCTCCGTCGGGAACAACTCCGACCTCCGTCGACGATGACACCACCTGATTAATCACAATACAAACACAACAAGTAAATCACCTATTGAATATTTCTTAAGAGAACTAATGTTCAGAATATCAGATCTGAGATCTCTTACACTGTGACTAATCTGCGACTGTGACGGCGTCGGTGTCTCTACCTCCGTGTGTGACTGCACGTTGTTGTTTTTGAAAGCATAAGCGAAAAGATCAAAGTTACCGTGATCTGGAACTACACCGTCGACGTTTTTATGTTCAATAACACCGTAATCAAGATCCATAAACGGAATAGCTTCGGAATCTGAGAAAATGTAAGAAGATGAATTGAGATCCGCCTTAGGATCGGTGAGCAACCATGAAGCAGCTTCAGCCTCATCTTTAACAGAATCATCGTAGTGGTTGATATTGTGAATCGATTTCTCATTTTGAGAAGTGGTGGATTCGAAGAGAGGAGTAATAGGAAGACGCTCATGGCGAGCGGCGAGGGGATTGGCGGAATGGATGTCACGGTCGCAGGATATGCAGAGAGCGGCGGCGTCGGCTTTACAGGTGACGTGTGCAGGTGCTTGCTCGCAGACTTCGCATAGAGTAACGCGAGGGTGACGGGAGGCGAGTTTGTTAGCGGCGTGGACTTCGGAGTCGCATGCGGCGCAGAGGAAGGCGGAGTCAGGGCGGCAGTATAGAGTCGCGGCGGCGGATTGGCATGAGTCGCAGAGTTTGGAAGACATTTTTGGAAGAGTTTTTCTTTTTCTTGAAAAGAAGAAGCGTTGTTATGTGAAAAGGGAAATAAGATGTTTACTTGTTTGAGTTCAATTCAAATCTAGCTGGTATGGTGGGACCGGGGAGATCTAGGTGATGGCGAATTGGAGGTTGACACGTGGATTAGGATTAGCTAAAGTGAAGTCGGGAAGTGTTGAAAGTTGCAAAGCCATGAAGGGAACGAACGCTTTTTGGACCGGACCGGATAGAACCGAACCGAACCACTCGGTGGTGGCATGTTCCGATTCTAACGTAATGTCTTTTTTCTTTCTGGACCCCGCGCTTGATGTTGCTTAAACCAGGCCTTCTTACCATCTGACACGGACACTTTATTGTCCTGCATGTAATTTTCTCTTTCATGTTTTTCGTCTTTTCCCCAATTTCATTTGGATAAGTGTTAATACTACTACTTGCGTAGAAAGAGCTATAATTGTTTTTATTATAAATTATTATTTCAACTTATTTATAAAAGTATATCTTTTTGTTACTAACATTTAATACTTTCCTACATACTAAGGTATAAAATCAATTTTGTATGTAAAAATCTCGATTTTGACTAATTAAAATGAATGTACTTTGTAAATATTTTAACATTTAAATTAGTATGTAATTGAGATGGAAATCAGATTTAGAATAATCACCCTCTTAGAGATAAAAAATTGAAGATTAACATGTGATTGCAGGTAATGAAGATTAATATTTAAAGTTCTGATGACATCAATACATGAGGATTTATGTGTTTGTAGAAGACTCAAGATCAAATTGCCTATACAATCAGATACTATCTAGTAAGAAGTCTTGAAGTCTCTTTAAGAAAAAGTGTGAAAGTTCTAAATGTCTTGTCGGTCGGTTTGTCTAAGTAAACCGAGTACTATAAAAATAAGGTAGTAGCTTAAGAGTACTAAGACAACTCACACACACTTAAAAAAAATTTTCAAAATATTTTCTTAATGCAAATTGTTTTCTAAACCAAGTCAAGTAATCAAGAATTTTTTTCAAACTCTTTCCAATATTTCTTTTACTATCTAATGGATTAAAAACTTATGCTAATCCATTAGAAAATATAAAATCAATTAACAAAGTGATGGGGACATCACCTAAATGACCTACAACGACTATATATCTTATATCTCATTTTTGAGCTGTAAATGATTTAAAAAATATTTTCTAATTGATTAGATTCTTTGCTAATAGATTAGAAAAGAGCTAAATGACTACAAAATCAAAAGGGATAGCACATTTAATACCTACAATGACTCTAGATCCAAACCTTTAATTTTGAGCACCATAAAGTCATATTTAGACAATCCAATCGATTAGACCAATCGATTAAATAGTTAATGAGGCACATGGATCATTTCCTTTTTTTAATGATTTCAACTACTATATAAATGGAAGTCTCCCTCACTTGAAATCATACCACTTTCAACATTTTCATATTTGTTTGAAATTTATCTCTCTAAACTTTTTCTTCACTTTTGGTTGTCTTAGTGATTTGGAGTGAAATTTTATTTGTGAGGAGAATATAATTTTGTAAATGGTTGTGTTGGTCGTGTATAGTCTTTAGGATGTGATACCTTTAAGATATTGAGTTTTGGTTTTTGAGATAAACAATAAATATATGTTATTGATTTATTGTTTTGGTTAAAGAGATCAACCATAAATATCTAAATAGTCTCAATAGAATAAGTTGGGATAAAAGTCAACCATACATTGGGATAAACTTGTTAAAATTAAAATATTAGATTGTATTAAGGTTTGTGGGCATAACCAATAAAAAGATATCAAGTCTATAAAGAAAAATGTCAAGAAGACCTCTTGGGGACATGACTAGGTCAACATTCGGTTAAACTTGGATAACTCTCTGGTGCAATCTTTCTACCCTTACTCTATTTAATTTATGCAAATTATTTTATTTACTTTACTTCCACTATAGTTTATTAATAATAAAAAAATTACTGACACGATCTTAATCGAGAAAGGGAAAATTAATCACATTTTTTAAAAACCACAATTCACTCCACCTCTTGTGTTTGAGGTCACTTGTTCAAAAAGTGCCATAAGAGTCTAACTCCCGTGAAGGACTAGTAATCTTAGGAGGAATGATGACTCAAAGCTATTAACTAACCAAACCTTCATCCTTTAATAGAGAAGGGTATGGGTTGTGGAAAGAGAAAATGAAAATTTTCAGAGGGAATGAATCATAGTATTTGGAAGACTATTTTAGTAAGAAAACCTGAAAAGGATTGGTCCAAAGAGGATAAAGAGAATATGCAAAACTATTTGAAAGTTAAGAACATCATCACCACCGCACTTGGTCTTGATGAATCCTTACGAGTTTCTCACTGCGAAATTGTTAAAGAAAGGTGGGACATCCTCCAAATAACCCATGAAAGTAGCACTGAGGTGAAAAGGGCAATGTTAAACGCATTAACCCATGAGTATGAACTTTTTAGAATGAAACCTGAAGAGAACATAATCAATGCAAGCACGATTTACTCATATCGTATGTCATATGAGGAATTTGGAGAAAACATTCTCATATGAAGAATTAGCCATAAAATTTATTATATGCTTGAATCACAATTGACAACCCAAAGTCACTGTGATTTCTGAATCAAAGGATTTGGCAACTATGGCCACACATACTCTATTTGGAAAAATGCAGGAACATGAGATGGAGATAAAAAGCCTTGTTGATGATAATGAAAATAACAAAAAGAATAGGAAACATATTGCGCTTAAAGCTACTAACATCGAAGATATGGAATTAGAAGATGAAGATTGTCAAAGTGAGATTTGTAAATTCGTGAATTTCATGTTTCAAAAATTTAAGGATTTCCTATGGCACGAAAAAAAACTTCAAGACTCCAAAATCAAAGTAAAGAAATTTCATTCATTCCTACATGTCATCAATATGGAGAGAAAGGGCATATAAGACCAAACTGCCCTAAAAACCCGAGAAGAAATCAAAATCAAAGAAAGCTCAAGAAATCCAAAAAAAAAGAGCATACATATCCTGGGATAAAAATAATATGGAATCTTCAGATAAAGAAGAAGCAAACCTCTGTCTCATGATAAAACATCAAGATGATGAAGTAACCTCTCAATTTTATTGCAATGATTTATTTAGAATATGTAAAGAACTATCTAAAGAAACAACCAAACTTGAAAAATCATTTTAACATCAAATGAAAGGATTTTCGTTCTTGAAACTAGAAATAAAGCTCTAGAAAAAGAACTAAGTAATCTTATAGAAAAGAGAGAGAAAAGTTACAGAAGATCCATCCACTTCAAAAACAGACACATGTAATTAGTGCAATATATATTAAAATATGAAGTTTGCATCCTTCAAAAAACTTTTGTTAAATTCACCAAAGGAAGAGATAATCTAGAAGTACTATTAAGAAATTAAAGAGCCTCCTACACTAAATCAGGATTAAGATATGAACCTAAGAACAATAGTAAAAACTTAGTAATATTTGAAATGCCCAACCAATATCTAAGTGTAAGACCCTAAAATGTAATTACTGTAATAAAGACGGTCATATTACCATATTTTATTTTATCAAAAAGAGTCATAAGAGCAAAGATGGACATCCCCCTTCATATTTTATAAAGAGCATTGTGAACATAAAAATAGAAGAATGTTCGTTCAAAATATGAATTCCACTAACATCAAAGGATCCAAAAAGATATGGGTATCAAAGGTATAAAAATCAATTTGTGATGTAGATAATGATATTGATAGGTGTTCTCCAATTGGAGAAGCTATGTTCTTTTGTTCTTCTCCTACGAGGGAAGAAATTCATTTGCTTAATAACAACAAGATAAAATCATTGGATCTTTGAGTCTCGTTAAGATCCATAATCTCACCCTTTAGTTGTCTTGACTAATTATAGCATTATAACACAAGTTACTTAATATTAAGTAAGTTGTGTAACCAAGGTAATAAGGTATGTTTAATTCTTCTATATACATGGCCAATAAATATCTTAATATGAAATCCTTTTAAAATATATTTTTCAAAAAATACTATGACTATGGAAGAACTCATACATATTACCTTTGGTGAACTAACCCCTAGTAGGTAAAAGTAGAGGTTGTTACTTTTGCATGTAACCCGTAGAGAGCATCATTGGAAGATGACAATCAAGGAAAAGAAAAAATTTTAAAATTCCAAATGAAGAAAACTCAAGAAGTCAACCCAAGAGAATCAATGGCCACCTAAAGAATGGAGGACCATTAAGAACTATCTCAAACAAAATATTATTGGAGATATTTATAAAGGAAACACTCCCTTAGCATGAAAGATATGATATAAAATATAAAGAGCTTCCTGAAGTTCTTACCTGATGGTGTTTGCCTATATGCTCTTTATGTTGATGATATACCTCAACACATGTGATCAAGGTGTTCACTTTGATGGTATAATTCAAACAACTATGATCATGGAACCTATCAAAAAGGTTAAGACGATAAATGGATTTATCAGTCCTAATAGTTAAGCCAACTCTCGTAGAGAAGGAAAATCAATGGTGGCTGGATATATCTTCCAAAAGGGGAAGTTACCTTGAGTTTTTGAGGTGGTACACTTAATAGATGTGGAAAATCGGAAAACTCTAATTGTTTCTATAGTAAGTGATTTATGTACTACTTAGTCAATTAAAATTTATTTTCTACTAACCTATGGTTAAACTTCAAGTTATTTTGGAGAAAAAGGGTGCAAACTACAACATACCCAGAGTCCAACATTGATATGAGGTCCAAGGAGGCTAAAAAGAAGTTGTACCAAAGATTTTCTAAAGACGAAATGATTATCCATTAAAAATAATATGAGAAAGAAGTAGACAAATGAATTCTCTCTCGATTTAGACAATTTCAAAGACTTTTAAGTTCTGTTCGAGAAATAATTAAGAGAAAACATTCTACAAAGCTTAATTACCAATTAAATTCAAAGTTAAATGCTACATTCCATAAGATTTTAGATCCAATACCTCACTCTAGATTGCTACTGTCCATTTATATAAGGTAAAATTATTCCTTTTACATTAGATATATGTGCTTTGATTTTCTTACTCCTTTTTGATAATGACAAAGGGGGAGAAGTGTACTTTCAGGGGAAATATAGTATACTCTCTAACTGATTAAGGGGGAGTTTGATCACTCCAAAAATAGATGTATTCGTTCTTGTTACCACCTCCCCTAAGATATGTGTTATTATCATCAAAAAGGGAGAGAATGTGGATCTATGTTCTTATAGGTAATGAAGATCAACATTTGAAGTTTTGATGACGACAACACATGAGGATCTATGTGTTTGGATAAGAGGACTCAAGATCAAAGTACCTATACAATCAGATACTATCTAGCAAGAAGTATTGAAGCCTCTTTGGGGAAAGATGTGAAAGCTCTCCAGGTTTTGTCTATTGATCTGTCTGAGT